TTTCGCGATTGACATTTTTGGTTTCCACAGTTGGGAGAGTAGCAGTAGGCAGAGGCCGGGGGAGGCGTGCACCAGGACATCCCTCCACAACCAAGACTTTCCCAGCCCAGGGTCAGCGCGCTCAGGGTGGGAAACTTGGAGCTAGACCCCGAGGAGCCGGTGCTTTGGATGAAGTGGAAGTTGAGTGAAATACAGCGTCACTAGAGTTGATTCAACACTTTGTTCAACAGTCAACCGGGAGGACCGGAGCAATGTGTGTGTTTTAGGTCAATGTATTTCCAGCATTTATCACGCAGTAGGTGTTCAGTACATTTTGGTTGATGGATTTAACTAGTAGTCTGCCGGACAAGACTTCTTTGAAAGTGGTGAAAAGCACGTTTACTTTAGGACTCAAGTGTACCTTGATGGAGCCAAGGTCTTTTCAGTTGCCTCACACGTATGTGAAAGGCGGCCATTGAGTAAGGAAGACTAAAGAAAAATGATGCCTCTGAACTTTGGTGCTGGGAAAGGATGTTGAAAGGACAGCTCTGTCCCGTAGGAAGTGCAGTCAGAATGCTCCTGAGAGCACTTTGGCATGGTGTCATGAGAGACCAGTCCCTGGAGAAGGACCTCATGCTTGGTTTAAAGTGGAGGGGAGGGGTATGGAAAAAGAGGAAGGCCCCCAGCAAGCTGGGTTGACACGGTGACTACAACAGTGGGCTCAACCATAAGAAGAATTGAGGGTGGCGCAGGACTGGCCAGTGGTCCCTGCTGTTGTGCATAGGGTTGCTATGAATTGGAACTGACTATGGCACCCAACAACGAGGAGCTCTGGTGGCATCGTGGGTGACCCCTAAGGCTGTTCACCACATTGTCAGCAGTTTGAAAGCACTGGCCACGCCATAGGAGGAAGTTGAGGCACTCTACTTAGATGACAAGTTACAGTCTCGGAAACCCCATAGGGCAGTTCTATCTACTGCCCTATAGGGTCGCTTTGAGTCAGAATTGATTCAGTGGCAGTTTGTTTTTTGAAAGGGTGTACTCTAGCACAAGCTTTTGTGATCCTGAGTTTGAGATATTGAAGAGTGTGTTAGGCCCTCTGTGACGGGAAACCGGTTTGTGGGTGGTGGGTTTGGTAGATTTAGTGTGCTAGGTGACAAGAGTGATGAAGGTGGCCATCCATGCCTTTGCTCCTCACTTGCTCTTTGCTTGCTCTTCGGCCTTGTCTAGCGGTCTTCTATGTCTCAGGACTTTGTTCTCCGCAGAGACTTCTTGGCAAGGATATGGCTCTGCTTTCTCACTGGTTTCATGAGTAATCAAAGCTATATAGAACATAGTATGATGGTGTGAGATTCTTAATGTGTCTGTCTGCTTCAAATCCTCCTGTCTTAGATGTGGTTCTCAACAGCTGCCAAGTATGATTTTCCTCTCCACAATTGATTCTTCAAGTGGAGAAATGCTTATAACAGTTAATGTATAGTCCTTGAGGAGCAACTTGTGAAATAGGAGGCTTCAAAAATTTTGTGGAAAATGGAAGTAAAAAATAACGGGACTTTTTTCCTATGAGCATTTTTGAAGCCCTTTTATATAGCCTGGATGATAACCAAGGGCAAAGCTAGAAATTCTATGCGCTGATCCTGGAGCCCTGGTGATAGAGCTGTTAGACGTGATTCCACCGTCAACCTTTTCCGACCCACCAGCCACTCAGCTGGAGAAAGTTCAGGCTTTCTATTCAGGTGCAACAAGATACAGTCTCAGAAACCCACAGGGCTAGTTCTTTTTTCCCCTCTACTCTGTCTTACAGGTTTGTTGTGAGTTGGCGTCAACTCCATGGCAGTGAGTTTGTGTTTGATTGATCCCACAATCTAACTGCTTTGGGCTTTGCCAAGTCATATTGTGCAGAAACTCTGCTTTGTGGTGTTTTATTCTATTTTTTTAATCGTTTTATTAGGGGATCATACAACTCTTATCACAATCCATACGTACATCAATTGTGTAAAGCGCATTTGTGCATTCATTGCCCTCATCATTCTCA